AGGCGGTCGTGTTCGGCATGTTGGGAACTGAAGACACATTAATTCAATGTGCGGCGGTCGCGTTCGTAATGTTGAGAACTAACGACACTTTAATCCAATGCTTGGCGGTCGCGTTCGGAATGCTGAGAGCTAAAAACATCTCGGCCCAACACTTAGCGTATCCATCTTCATTTTTAGCCAGGGTATTTGTTCTTCAGAATGTATTACGAGGGTATTGCAATAATATTGTCACGAATATTTAACAAAGGCAATGTCAGCGGAAAAGGGGATAATACTTCATGAAAAGCAACGTGGTGAATAATGGCCACGTATATCGCAGATGAATCAGTCAGGCATAAATAATGATAATCGATAAGGTCAAGAGATTGCAATGGATGTGAAGTTCTACACCGCGTTCAGTTGTACGCTGCACATAAATTAGAGGATTGGGGAAATGCAATGCAAGGTAGCATTCTATTTAAAGATGACAACATCTGTTTTTTCAATAATAGAGAACGTAGGTGCGAATCTCGAACATCTCTTTTCATCCCATCTCGAACATCCCGTACGTAGGTGCGAATCTCGAACGTCGGTGCTCCCTCCTCGAATGACTCGAGTACATAGCGGATAAGCCGACCCCACGTGGGGTACGGAATGCGCTTTAACTCCTTGAATCTAATTCAGATAAAGTAACGTGAAAGTAAAGTAACGTAAAGTACAAGTAAAGTAACGTAAAAAGTAAAGTAACGAAGTAAAGTAACGTATAAGTCAAGTAAAGTAACGTACAAGTAAAATTAAAGTAACGTTAAAGTCAAGTAAAGTAACGTACAAGTAAAAGTAAAGTAACGTTCAGGACATCGTGTGTTTCGGAGCCTTGTCTCTTGTGGTGGATCCCCGAACGCGCCTGACAGCTGGTCACTGGACCCCGCGAATTTGTGAAGCTTATTGCCCGCACGATCATACCTTCTCGAAATGTTAAGTGATCGCAACGAAGGCCTAGCAGTTTCCAGCCTAGATGAATATGCTTTCGTAAAGGAAAACGTGGATTATTTCGGCCAGTTTTTCTCGAGACTCCAGATCCTGGAGGAGTCCCTATCGAATGATGTTCAGGAAGTGCTGAGTAACTTCAGGAGTACGTGGGCTCCATTTTTCCTGAAAAACTGGCAAGTAACGCTGCAGAACAGAATTATCCGCGAGCAGTGCAAGAAGACGAAGGATACTGCTACTCAGTACGGGCCTTCGTCTAGTTTCCTTCAACACGATAATTTTCGGCTTCATCCCCGAGATTTTGGAGCCCAGGCTGAAGCAAAAATGCCTCGTGTAAGAAGAAACGGCAACAGAGCAGTTCGGAATGGCCAGATGTCCCGCGGTGGCTTTAGTCAGCAGCGAATGCCTGATTCTGGCGACGATGTTTGCGATTTCTGTCGACGCACCGGTCACTCAAGTCAGGAGTGTCGCACTCGGTTAAAGCTATGTTTTATTTGTGGCTCTAGTTTGCATTTTATTCGAAAATGCCCAAGATTCAGACATGCTCGTGTGAAGAAGTCTACCAATAAACCAGCCTCACGTGCAGACGTTTCTCGTGGAATTCCGGAACCTGCAGATCTCGTGAACCAGGTGATTCGGTGCAGCAAATTATGAGGAAGAATGCGTCGAAGGTTGTGACTAAGCATCTAAAGTATGTGCGGGAAGGGATAAAGGGTTATAGAGAAGGCGTGGCAGAACCGTGGCAGAATGAATATGTAGGAGAAAGTATCTCGTGAGCGTAATGTTTGGTAAAGTAGAGCCAACCTAATGTTAAGGGTAGTGTGATGGATTTGCGTTAAAGGTGTGGTAATGTCTAAATTTCTAATGTTTCGCATAGATTGTTCTAATTATAAAGGTTCTAGTTTTCAAATGTTTCATATTGAATGTATTAGTTCTAATGTTAGGCTAGTCGCCTTGTTAATAAAATGTACATATGCTTCGTGTTAAAGTAATTAGGTTAATAATGCGTTTTAGTGTGCAGTAAAATTGTAAATGGGGAATTTTATACTAAATGTTCATCGTTTAATACGGGAGATATAGGTTCCAGGTTTCAATCCTTCGCTTTCATGCCCTTTCACTTTAGCTAGAGATTTTTAAGTGCAATGGAATTTTTGCACTTGGTGGGGGGTGATGTTAGGGATTACAATAGGGTTCGTTAAATTTGTCATTTCCGTTTTGATTCACCACCGATGACTTCGCAAATGAATGTTTACCTATTTGTCATTGCTATGTGATCCACCACAGAGGTTAGTGCCTGAATTGTTTATCGTTAATCTTTCGTATTTATGTAGTGGTGGTTTTTTTTCTGGTGAAATTGAATATTTATATTAGGTTATTATTCATGTGTTATATATTAATTCGTTAGCATTAAATTAGTTCAAGTCTTTAATTTGTATTTATTCGTGCTTTTTCAGCGGGGCTCCGAACCCAGAACATGATGAGGAATTAATAGTCAAGAGCTAGAAAGATACACGGTTTATAGTTTTGTTTTCTTGTATTTATTCTTCTTTGTTATTATAGTTCTTAACTTATCAGTTTTTATTTCATCCTTTTTTATTTACGATCATTGGTCAAGTGTTTGGGGTTAGAGAATGCTTATTTTTTATTAGTCCCCAACACTGTAGATCCATAGGTCACTGGTTCAGATCCGGTTCGAAGGACCATGGTTTCCCGTTTAAGGACTGTAGGCATGGTCCCTCGAGCACGAGAACCTGGGAGGACATTTGGACAGGGCCTTCCGCCCCAGCAGTAAGACCCTCGCCAACACCCCCTCCACCACCGCGTCAGACGGGTTCCGCTTCGACTCCGTCGGTAAAACTATGGAAGTGTTAGGCATGGCGAAGCACGCCACAGAGTTTTTCCGCAAGGAGGGCCACCAACCCTCCAAGCACATTCAGGGCATTATCGACCTGGCCATTTCCACCCTCACCCAAGGCAGCGGTGCTTCCAGTCGCGAATCTTTCTGGTACCCAAGAAAGACGGGTCAAAACGCCTCATCATCGACCTGTCGCGGCTCAACGATTCCATCGTTTGTCCCCACTTCAAAATGACCAACCACGTCACGGCTGCAGGATAATTGATTTTATCACCCGGTCTAAGTTACCCCAAGAGCTGGGGTAACAAAGACCATCACTTTTTTGAAATTACATAAAGACTATGAGAGGCAGGAGCCAGCAATTCATGATGAGAAAAGCTAGAGTATAGACCTGTATTTTGCATGTTTCAATTCAAGTTTAATTTAGCTAGTAAAAAATGGCATCATATATAAAAAGTCTAAGTTACCCCATTTTACGGTATCCTGGATACCAGCATCATCATACATAAGAAATTGGTTTAAATCTTGGGTAAATGAGGAAATTAAAAAAGTGAACTGATTCTAATTTCTAAAAAATCTATGGTTTGTCAATTGTCACTATGCTACGACGCTACGTGCCAGCAGGCAGCAACAATGAAACATCACAAACGGTTGCCATATTTCTTTAAAAGCCTTTGGAATTCAAACCTACAAAATTCCTGAATTCAGATATGTGTGACTAAATTTGGTATATTGTAAGACTAATTCCGACAGTGCTTCAAACTCTATTAATTTGTAGGGTAAATGCGGTATATTCCGGCACATTAAGGACGCATCGAGAAATGAAAAACTTTAAGAAGAACCGTATGCGTTACTCGAGTTCTGTTTGCTTTAGGTGACTCTCAAAACGCCGCACGATGCACCAGCAACGATGAAACGTCACAAAATGTTACCATATTTATTTAAAAGCCTTTAGAATGCAAACCTACTAAGTCCCTATATTCTGACACTGTGTGTGACTATATTTGGCACGTGGTGAGATGTATTCCGACCGCGCTTCAAATTGCTTCCAACCGCGCTTCAAATACGTAATAATAACCAAGCCGTGGCCAAAGTACCAACTCGTTGTGAGGGATCATTGTCCATGGCAAGACCAAGGCTCTTTAAGGCCTTGCCAAAAGGGCTGAGAGGAGGAGAGTTCACCCCTTGCAACATTAAAGCAACAACTGGACAATTTGTTGAGAAAGATCCTGGATTGTCCAGTAATGGGAAACTACCCTCAGCAGGTGACAAGTCATAGCATCTTGCATCAGTTGGCCCAAAAGAGGGCAAATAGAGGAACACGTCAACCCGCCTAGCACTGACTTGAAGACGAAGGATGATGAAGGCGGTGCATCAGCGTGATTGGGGACTGGAAAGTCTCAAACTCATCACAAGGTCATAGGGGTTCACTTGTGCATTTTTGGCAATATTTTTTATGAAATTGTTTACTGCAATACAACAATTTTTTCGCTTGATTTCAAGCTCTTGCATGCAGATTTTAGTCAGTAATGTTAAATAATAATTGCTAAAGCTCAAAAATAACTTTTGTAGGCTTTCTTCTTGGTTTTAGCTTTGCTATAGTTGTACTGTTCAACCACTGTGACTTTTTGACTCCACTAAGTTTAATCTTGGGTACACTTGCATCTACTGCAGACATAACCATGTCTTTGAGAAATAACCACGAATCAGCTACATTCATGTTCTTTATGCTGTCCAAATTATTTGCCGCACTTGCTGCTTCATGGAGTTTTATTTAGTTGCTTTTTGCAAAGTTCAAATATTCATGGTTCCAGGGCAACTTTCATGATGTACTTTCCTTCCCAATAATGCAAAGAATGTTGTAAAATGTTGATAGTGTTATCCTTACCTTTTCTGCTCAAAATGCTTAATTATCACGACAAAGATTTACAAATAACTTGCAGAAGTTTTGATCCTGGAATACTTTTTTCATTTTACTTTTAATAATGCATAATGATTTATGCCTTTTTTATTTTAGATGATTATCAAAAGGTAGTTTAACATGAATTCCTCTGTACTGACAAGGTCTTATTTCCTGTATGTTTGTCTTTAGTTTTAACTGTCATACATATTCAATATGCTCTTATTTAGAGCCACACAATTCCACAAAATAATGTACAGTAATGTGTTTACCCCTACAGATTTCCTACAAATTGCATTTTCCTTATTAATCATTATGCGGGAGTATAAAATAGTTGTTCTTGGATCTGGTGGTGTAGGTAAATCTGCTCTTACAGTACAGTTTGTGCAAGGAATTTTTGTAGAAAAATATGATCCAACCATTGAAGACTCGTATAGAAAGCAGGTGAGCTAATTTTTAAACTGTTTAATTCTGAAGGTTTTAAGGTTGCTGCTGTAATTGTAATATCATACATAAATTTTGCTGGAGCCAGGATGTGATGACCTTCACAATATGCTATGAGTAATGGTTAATTTAATACCTCTTAGAGTTCTACGCTGCCTGTTGGTCCAATCATGAATTTTTATTAACAATAGGAGGTAATTCATCTAGTGGAAATCTTGTGGTTGCATAAATGACAGGAACGCTCAACCATGGCTCAAAAGGGCCGGGGCTCCCAAGACACCGAAGCCCTTCCCAGCCGTGAAATGGCAGTTCAAGAGCGAGGACCCCCGCCTACAGTCCTTAAACGGGAAACCATGGTCCCTCGAGCACGAGAACCTGGGAGGACATTTGGACAGGGCCTTCCGCCCCTGCAGTAAGACCAATTCGAGGAAGAAACAATCTAAAGATCAAATAGAGCTTTATAATGTTCAAAGCAAACAGCCTAAAACTCCGAGCTCTAATTAGATTGTTTTCGTTCCTCAAACGAAAATTTTTATGGCCTGTGCCCAATTTTTTTTTGTAAAAAATGATAAAAATAGCATGTTTTGCCAGAAATTAAAAAAATGCCAATAAAATGATAATTTTTACACACAGTTTTTGGAAAATGCTGCCCATTATCACAATTTAAGTTGAAGCATGAATCTCTAATCTATCACTAAACAGATTTAATAAAATTTCTTTTCTATGCAACTTTATTACACATAAATACTCGAGCTAATTTCTTCAACACCCTTACACTATTCCTATGTATATTTAATTAACAACAAGACAAACTTGAAAAAAAAAAACAAGATAAAACCTTTGAAATCTAGAAATTTGGCTCCAATTGTCTAAAGTCTTTGATTATTTTTCTGCTTTGGAAAGCACTTATTCAACAATTTCATTGTCAAATTATGCACACCATTGTTTTGCCATGCCCAAAAATTGGTGCATGGAAAATCTTCTACATTTTACATTTATCATATCTTTTTATGAGGAGAGTTTTGCTGGTCAAAACAGTGCCTTGCTTAACTTTATATTGATATTATGTTTTACTCTAAAATTGAATACATTTTGTTATATCATTGATTTGCTATAGTTGCTTTGGAAGAGGCTTCAGAACTGTAATTTTTGGTGGTGATTTTTTTATAAGATTTTTTATGCATTCAGTAAACTGTTCAACACTTGCAACAAGGCTGCAATGGTCCAACATTGAAACATGTATCTAATTTGAAATGCTTTTCGTGTAATTCAAAGTCGTTTTCTTCATAAAACACCTAATGTAAACTATTGTGTGCAGGTGGAGGTGGATGGGCAGCAGTGCATGTTAGAGATTCTTGATACTGCCGGGACTGAGCAATTCACTGCCATGCGAGATCTTTACATGAAGAATGGCCAAGGCTTTGTGCTGGTCTACAGCATCACTGCCCAGAGCACCTTCAATGACCTCTCAGATCTCCGTGAACAGATCCTCAGAGTCAAGGTTTCTAATTGACTATTTTTATGTTTCTATTATTGCTCTGATTTTCAGGGACAAGCCTTTGCTTCAAGTCAAGCTATCGATAATTCAAAATATATTCTTCCTCTGTAACTATGACTGTATTTAGTTATCAGTGCACAGTTATAAAGAATATCTATTTTGCTTATTTGTAGCTATATATAAAGTTGTCATTGCATAGGTATGAAGAATTTTTTAACTCGATAACGTAAAATTCTATGATCTCTTTTTAGAGGGGTAATCATTTTTCTTGAAAATGTATTTAAAATCAAACTATTAATATTAATATACGCAGCACATTCATGAAAATGTATATAATTGTATACCAGTATTAATTCTTACCTTTGATTTCATACCAAACAAATCAGGCCCACCACAAGACTAAATTTGCAAGTCAAAGTAATGATAATGTGTTAAAAACTTTCAAGGTGGCTTCTACAGGTCTTGATGGCTATCTACTTTTAAATGATGAGATCAGATTATAATAAAGAAAAAAAGACTTTTTTTATAATTATTCAGGATATTTTGTGTGTTCATTTTTCTGTCTATAATGTAACTTGCTTGTGCTATGCTATATTACTGAGACGTTCTGATCTTGAATTTTATATATGAAAGAAGCTTAGATGGAGTCCAACTAGGCCTCAAATTTCATTAACAAAATTAAAAAGAATGTAGTATCTTGATAACATAAAAATGACAAATTTCATTAACAAAATTGAAGAGAATGTAGTATCTTGATAACATAAAAATGACAAATTTCATTAACAAAATTGAAGAGAATGTAGTATCTTGATAGGGCCCAAAAATGACACGAGTTCTCACTAATAACTCACTTGTGCAGGACACGGACGATGTGCCCATGATTTTGGTTGGCAACAAATGTGATCTGGAGGACGAGCGCGTGGTGGGCAAAGATCAGGGACTGAACCTTGCCAAAAACTTCATGTGTGCCTTCCTTGAGTCCTCTGCTAAAGCCAAGATCAATGTCAACGAGATATTTTATGACCTCGTGCGTCAAATCAACAGGAAAAGTCCTGACAAGATTAAAAATGGTAGACCTGGCCGGAAAACAAAGTGCGTTCTCTTATAAATTTCTTGGGTGGTTCGCAGGTCCGCAATATCTGTTGACGACATATGAGAGTGGCATGGGCGCAACAGTAGAGCCCATTTAATTATTTCATTACTTCATCATTCTTGCGTTCATGATCTTGTGTCTACATATAATGCAGATGAATAACTATTTCTGTACCTTGGTGCCGAAAGTCCTTCAATTTCAAGTCCTAAATCTGTCAGGTCTGAAGATTGTACGAACTTAAATTCCATAATATATTAATAAACTGAGCATCAGGTATTGATAATGATAAAATGACTTGCATTTGTATCTTTCCTGAAGGATATTCATGTCCTGATTTTCTTAATGATACAATAGAGTAAATACTGCCCAGTAATGAGTGAAACTCTGCAGGTGGTCTATAGCTCTGTAAAGCTCTTCTCAAGTGTCATGAATAATTATCTAATACTAATTACTAAGAATCACAAAAATTCTTGGTAATGTGATTTCAAGTGGATTAATGGTGAATTGATACATAATTTTGTCCAAAGCACTGCCTGATACAGCGTTAATCTTACGTAAATAAACTATGATATATTAGTCTCACTGAGATAATTATATTTGTAACTAACGAACTTCAGTATAAACAGTGTTGATCAACGCATCTATAGGTTATATCTTCTAGTTTTTTTCCTTTCTTTTCAAGCTTATAAACTTGGTAATTCCGGTTATTTTACTTGTAGTGCTTATGTATGTCAACTGAATGTTTCTGTATGGGCATTTCATCCCTTCTCTACTCTGTAATGATCTTTCTATAACCCAAGTTTCGTTGGTACATTAGGTATGGTTTCCTTTATTGAACTTCTGAATCAGACTGGAATGTCATAGCCTTGTTGTCTTGCTGTCTTATCTCGGGAATCTCATAATGAGTGCTGTTGGCCGCTCACATTTGCCTCGAATGAAAGCAATGCCGGACGAAATGACCAGCGTTTACCTCAGTTGCCAAAGTTGAATTTGAAATTGCGTACTACATAATTATTATTATTATTAGTGGTTAGAGGGCATGAGTGCGTCTTTTGAACTGATGCTGGTGCATGCGTACTTCAAAAGGTCATATTCACGTGGAGGATAGACTGCCATAGATTCATCCTAATTTCTGTCCTGTGTTTGGAGTGAAAGGCGATTCTGGAAGTTCTACCGTATTTTCACTGCACTCTCGTGTGAGCTCAAGCTCATGAAAATTGGCCTTTATTTTTAGAGTCCACTTGATAAAGATTGGGATATATGTAGATGCAGCTTCAATAATATCGAAATTCATCTAAACTGTCTCTTATGTCACCTATCAAAAATTTTTGTTTGCTAACTTTCACATTATTATATTCCCGGACCTGTTCTTTATTGTTTCTTACACGTCTCATTTTTTTTATCGCAACGCAGCACATCATTAAGTTTACATTTAAAATGCCAGAAAATGACAAGCAAATTAACTATTATTTCATTGATAAGTTTCTGAGTCCAGCCCCATCCCTTCAACAATAATAGTACAATCGACAGAAAGATGAAACTTGTGATGAATTTGCTTTGCATTTACTTAGTTAAATTCGTAGTTAATTTGCGATGAAAGTAAATTAATTGTATAAATACTTGATTTCACCTAATATACATTGCCTTGTATTTGACGTCCCTGTGTGTGATGGTTTTGTTATTATTGTCTGGTAATCTATCGATTTTATTTGTGCTTGCCGTCGCTTTTGTCGCACAAATACAAGCATTCTAGATTTGTTCCTTTTAATTCATGCTTTTTAAATCAGAAGCTGCTCTGTGCAATAGAAATTGAATTCGTTGCTGCTTCCCCATTTCGAATTTATTGATTAATGTTGCCCAGATTTGCGTTTATGAGTGAAGTTTGCTTTCTTTATATTTAAAAACATCTTCAAGAGTCCTTATGATTGTAGCTAATTTTATTGCTGCTGTCTGACAATTTTCTCGTGTTTGTTTTAGTTGTCCAAAATATTTCTCTCAGTGGAAACTTCCCTTTAGAATCCCTGCCCTTTTCTAAAGTCATTCCATGCTTAGCGAATGTAATCTTTCATTTCCAAACTCATACTGCTGCGTGCATCTGATAAACTAAAACTGGAAACACATATAGACCCGCGCTTTTCTCTACTATTGTGCACATCATAAGGATTCAAGTCAGCAGGTTCGCCTCTACAGGATGTCATATAGAGCTCTTACATTTGTCGAGAGACGTGTATGCATGCAACTCATTGCTTACTTTGCCTTGTTTTTAAATGACAACTCGGCTAGGGATGCACCGCCTGCATGGCTCTTCCTTAGCATGTCAAGTTTATTAAATTAATACTGCTCTTCCGCTGCTTTCTATGTGGATTACTAAGGATTTAGTTTCGTGCACGTCAAAGAATGCCTCTGACATTTTTACTCGTCGGAAGACCTATTGGTTCGCTTTCCTAGAGGCTTCCTGAGCGCTTCGTCTCGGTCATAAGATCAGGTTATTACGATGAAAGAATCCCTCGGTCATATTTCCTCAAACGATAGTAAGAGTGTTTTGCTGAACTTCACTTATTTTCGGCGTCCATTCGATAATACTAACGCTGCCTCCTGTTCGTTGTGTGTCGCCGGTCATGCCAGACCATCCGCCCCGCGTTGTTCATGAATGAAATGATCTAGACCTTCCACCTTGTTGGTGTTCTTCGTGACCAGTGCAAGATAAGGACATAGAAAAGTAACCAATTCACCTCACTGCTACTTCTGTTGTGAGTGGCAGTAGCTATGACTCGTCTACCGTTAACAGCCGAATTTATTTTTTTGTGAACTAAGTCTTTCCATAAAATTTTGCCTTGTTGCTCTATTTTTCGAGTACGGACTCTGCCTGGCACACCATGATTGTGGATTTGTACCGAGTTGAATGAAATTGCGATTAAAGGAATGGCGAGCACGCTTGTGTAGCGTGGTGCCATTGAGTTTTTTTTTTTTCAAAATACGCTCTTATTAAATTGTATTCGCCGGCACGCTCGTCACACTGAGGTCACATTCTTCGTTCCTACGTAAATAATTCCATCTTTATGTGTGTAATTTATTACTGTGCAGAGTTGTTGCTTGGCGATGTCACATACTGAATCCTGTTATTTTTTCACATTTTCTTCATAAAACTCTCCTTTTGTGGTGCGTTGAATGTGCGTGATTGATGTAATGACTACGATGCGCTGCCATTCAGCGTCGCGATATATTTGAAAATTGATTACCTGTCGATACACTATTACGTGCGACCTATTAGATCGCTCTTAGTATTGGAGAGCAATCGGCGCTTCCTTATGAACATTTTTCAAGCCTATAAACTGCCCACTATGAAATTAACACCAGTTTCAAAACTCTGTTCTTGCTCCGTTCGGAACCCAAAATTTAAACAAACTAAGAATTAAGCTTTTCTTAGCTGCTTTTCAGATTGAACTCTCTTATAGGATAATGTGAAGGTTTAGATATTCTATTATCATAACTACATGTACAGATGTGGGAGCGTAAGATATTGCTTGACTTTTTGTCTGCTTTCCTCGAAATTGAGCTTATACTTGTTTGTGTAAACAGAATAATGGATATATACCTAATACGTTGTTCGTAGTGTTTCACTGACAATGCATCCTAAGCTAGAGAACCTTTCGTCAACTTGTGCAGCAACAATACGTGCCTAGCTTGAAAAAATTCTCATCATCGCTTGGAGATGGTGCCCATCCCTCGTAAATAATACGAAGCAGTCAGAGTTGGTTAGCAGCATTGCTCTTCAACCTCTACAACGGACAGTGTTGCCATTAAGTTGGTAACAAATTTGTCTTGGGAATCTTTTACAGCAACATCGCGTGCTAGTTTTATAGGTCTACAGGAGACATTTCACAGTAGCGAGAATGGCGCTGCTCTCTGAAGGTAAAAATAAATACTACGTAGCTCATGGTCTTCATTTATCTCACCAGAAATGGTACAGAATGGTTGGAATGAACATAATAGTGATGATCGTTAATTCTTGTTTTTTACCAAGATCATTATCATTTAACCAGTGCCTGCCTGCATGCACAGGCTGTCTCCGTTGACACAAACCACTTTCTGCTCCCCAGCTTTTCATGTTAATTTATAAGTGCCTAAATGTGATAGACGAACAAATTAGCAAATTGTGTGTAGAAATAAAATAGGGCGAGGCTTAATTATAGGTTAAATATATATAAAAGCAGTAACTAGCTGCCAAAGATTAACTCTAGATCATTATAATTAACTAAGTAGGCACTTGCAATGGACGGAGTGAGTTTAACATATCACTGCATGCTGGAATAACGCTATTTATCTTAGCACCTACTGCTATTTTAAACGTAAAAATTGCGGTATTAGCATACATTGCTTACCCCAAATTTGCTAACGTTAAGTTTACCATCATCTAATAATTCAATGACAGTCATCTTCTGCTATTCAAAGCTTACAAGCATGAGTAAACGTCATATTTTATCTCAAAAATGTGCCAAACGAACGAAGCCTAACTTTGACAACCTCATTCGCCACTAAGAGCTCAGGTGGAGACTGATGTAGCTTACAGTTCAATGGGGTACTTACGAGGGAAAAACTTGATCTTTTACGAGTGGCTAAAGTTGACGAATTGATCAGCAAATCCTTTCGAAAATCCTCTGCATCACATCAGCATAGGATATATATATCGGGGACCAACCTATAACAGGAATGACTGAACAAGTCCCTAGTAATCGAAACGCATCGAATTATTTCAATATAAAATGGAAGACATTGTAACATTACAGTTTCTCTCTTCGTGGCTAACTCATTATTAACTAAAGACATGAAATTACATAAATGCAACCGAAGCAAATGTAAGGAAGTTGATTAGAACGAAATAAGTAGGAACAAATTTGAGCACATATCGCTGTAGAGAAACGAAACCGGTTAAGTGTTGGTAATTTGAAATAATTGCACGATGAGACCGCGCCTTCTGTGTTATAGAGGAGAGCATAATAATTAATTAAAATTGAGGAGTCCCTACTACACTCGAGACGTTAATTTAATTGTTTAATTGCTCCTGAAATTCAATACTTCGACAAGATCGTACTAAATGAATTTGTGTTTGACCACGGCAGCGCGCGCAGTGACGTCAATATATAATCGGTAGCAGCGACTCTGCATCCAAGACTAGCGATCCAAATGAGCTAAATGACAGACAAAATTGAGATTGAGCATGAGATTCTCATTTGTGAACAGATCCAATAATTTACCCTGTGTCTAATCGTCAACGACGGGTAAAATCTAACAAGAATTGTCCGCAATCCCTCTGACGATAATTGGTATAGTTGTTCTCTTTCTCAAAACAAATCAAATCCCTGATCGTTCCATCAATTGAAGAAATGGAAATCTGGCGGCTTATGAGTTAGCCGGTAGTCCCGGTACACTGAAATGGTTGGATAATATGTACACGCCATCATTTCATCTTCACATGAAGAAGAACACTATTGATGTACTGGCAAAGAACATCACCAGATCACAATAGTGGCAATGTACACAAAACACCCGTCTGATTAATGTAATGTACTTTCGGTTTACTGAAACCTGGAACTCAGTGTTACCTTCTCTTCTAGAGCGAACGAAATACTTCGGACGATTTGAACTCACCACTTTCACAGAAATCCCAATAATACGACTATAAAAACTTTTTTTTTGCTCATTCTGAAGGCCAAGTCTCATCCTGAACAACTCCTATGAGCAAACTATTGAGCCAACATTCTTCTGCCGCCTGGAATGTGCAGATGATGAATGTCACTCACAACCGCGTACGCAGAAGAGCAAGAGTGAGAACAGGCACAGCAATGAGACTGAGTGATGGTCTAGTGCTGGGCAGCGCAGCATTGCAGTTGTCGCTGGTGCAGTAACACTCCTCGTAGTACACACCGTTCAGATCCACACCCCAGTTACACACGTTCGTCACGCCCGTCTCAGTGACAGATGCACAACGTCTGATCACCGTCCTCCAACGGCCGTCCCCTGCAATGGCATCATCAGTAGGTATAAGCTGCCGTTGACAATCTCATGAGAAGAAATTGTGTTAATTCCCACCCAAAAGTGAAGAATTTCAATCTAAAGGTCTTTAGGTAGTTTATAATTTTAAATGACTATATAAAATCAAATACCAAGCAAAATAATTTTTAAGCAATTTTACTGCCCAAATTAAGTACTTATAGTCATCATTTGAAGTGAAATAAATTGACTGAATCAGAGGAAAAAATTGACTGCCCATTAAGGGCTACATTCTTGGGTAAAAATTTAACTAGAAGTTCTTTCTATCAACTATGATCCAATTACTTTAAATAGTGTTTGATAACATTTCACTTTGGGATTTAATTATATTATTGGAAATTAATAGCAAGATGACAAGTTTATCCAACACCATGACTGCAAATTAGACACTGGTCAAATACATTACAGTATATATACATTCCTGACGTTGACATTTACATTCCTAGGTGTTCATTTAGAAAGTATCTCAGGCACTGTCATTAGTTGATAAGTAATTTTGAGTAAAGAAAATGTTGTATGTAAAAAAATAAACACTAGCATATCATCCTGGCATCATCCAAGATCAGAAATCTAAGCAGTTTTTGAATCACACCATCCTGAAATTTATAAATAATAATAAAGCTTATTTATTCTAATTGGAGAAAGATACATCCAAACCTACATATAACATTGAACTATTAAAAGAACTGATGGAATACTACCAATTATCAAATCAAATCATAAACACAGGCATTTAACTAATGCCCTACTATATTTGACTTTCATTTAAACTATTTTGTGCATTTAAATTTGATTTGTATATATAACATTTTAAAATCTAATTCCCTTTATTGATCCAATCTTTTCCAATCAGTTTTGCAGTGACTAAATATTAACTTCCAATGAATAAATTCTCAGGTCCACAAACTATCCCAATGCAATGAGTATCATGGATTGCATCCAACAGCCCCTATATATTTGCAGTCCCAGGTTTCAAACACACAAACCTTGACAACCACTTGTAAGGTTAAACATATACCTATGACAACAAGATCCAATATTAGTCATCATCTTTTTCAATTTCAACAAGCAACCTATGACAACAAGATCCAATATTAGTCATCATCTTTTTCAATTTCAACAAGCAACCTATGGCAACAAGATCCTATATTAGTCGTCACCATTTTCAATTTCTTCAAGTGCACTTACAGATGAAACTCCTTGGGCTCTGCTTGGTGACCTTAACGCAGAAAGTGCCAGGCGTGACACTCTCATCATGCAGGCAGTCTACAGGAACATGTTCTTCTTCCCTGAATTTCTGGTAGGCGCCACACAAATCCTTCCCTTTTGGATCTTCATCAGTTGAACACTGGTAGCACTTCACGCTGCTGCCTGCAGAGGCACAGTTTTAAACTATGAATATATCATCCCTGCATAACAAGCCATGAACTATTGAATGAACATTCAGTAACTTTATAGCAGTGAGACTTTTGTTCCAAGATTAGATGGGTTTGAAAACTTCAATATGATCTGACAAAGAAATTTAGCCAACCAGCATGGATATTTTTCTTCTATTATTTTACCAAAAGCCTTTGCATAATTTTTTGTAATATTCTTGCATTAAAGTTCATATTTGAATTACCTAATATCTGTTATTTGAAAGCTATAAATTTTGTACCATTCTCCTACTAATATCAGACAAATTTTGAAGAAATTATAATCAAGCTGTATAATTCATGTATATAGAAAGTTTAGGGTAAAAAAGTACAAAAATCTATTTAGAGTTTTAATGCACATAATATATACACATAATTAAAATACATGAAAATCAAAACTTTCCAGAGTACTTGAGCACTCCTAAAAGGTATAGACCACTACCTCTTTTTATCACAAACAATAAATTTTAACCCCTTAAGAACATTAAAAACATCATGAAGTTTGAAATAAAAATGGCACTTTTTTAAATCAAATTTGTTACTAAAATATTATACAAATTCAATTGAAAAACACAAAATGAATTTTATTATTGATTTGTTTCTAGTTTAATTCAAGGAAAGATGCTTCATATTAAAACTTTAGAAGCATATTAAAAATATCAGCCAAGTTTAAAAAAAATTGTCTAGATTTAGGTTATAAAATCCAAAATGATCTATCCTAATGATCCTATACATACTAATACACACATATATATACACAGGGTGTGTACTGGTATTTAGAAAAAAAAATTCCTTGGCTTTTCCGTGACTCTCAATGACCATCAATATAATTTTCCAAGACTCATATTCGGGAGGTTAAGCATGACTGAAAGACTAACCATACATATTCTATCATCTCCTACAGTTGATAAATAGCAAACGTGTAAATGCATAGAGCAGGCAGACACAGAGTAACAAAAAATGACATATCGGAAAATCAAGCCCACACTGGTATTATTATTAATTCAAGTGTCAAATCACAACAAATATTGAGGAATGCACACAAGATTGTACATGATAATGCCAATACAGTTTAGAACACGATTCAACGCCACTACCCTAACATTCAACTGGCAGCTATTTCATCAACTTTTTCTTTAATGTTCTCTTCAAGAGTGTCAAGCATTGTTTTCAAAGATCGCCTCAAGGCATTGAAATTTGCGATTATTTTCAAATCCCCCTTTCTTTCCATTGCTTCTGCATATTCATCTGCTGCTTGCTGAAGTGCCTTGATGCCCTCCTCTGTACGCCTTTTCTTCTTCTTCAGTTCTTCTAGCTCATCCAACAAAGCATTCCTCTCCTGGGTTTTCAGGGCCTTTGCATTCTGCTCTTTCTCTTCTGCCAAATAATTATTGTAGGATGTTTTGGCACTGCTGGCTGCAAGCAGCATCTTCTTGGTGATGGTCATATTGTTTAGGCCTCCAACATGTGCAACATCAACTACAGCAGGCAGGGCAACCTGCATTTGCTCTTTCATGTTGAGCATCATTATTTCCTTCTTGAACAAAAACCCTCTTTCAGCCGTGGCTTGGCTGAATTTTCAGTTTGAGCAGTGGCCAGGGTATGAAGTGATGCTTTGACACAACGTTCAGTGGTGGACAGCCATTCGACCTCATGTTGGGGGGATGTAGAGCTCAAAATATTCAAAGCAGAATGATGTCAAGGGTTGGCTATGGATAGCAGGTTCCATTCATGGCTGATTGGTGGATGTCTAGAAAGATCCAAGGCGTTTGATTCAGGGCTTATTGGTGCACAAAATTGGTGGTGCTTGGCTGCACTCCCCCATGTAAGTGTAACCAACATCAACATATTGAGGGAAATCAAAACGCCTTTTATTCCATGACTTTCCATGACCTGAAATAAAATCCAAATACTTTCCAGACCTGGAAAATGAAAAATCAAATTTCACGACTTTCTAGGTTTTCCATGACCGGTATGCACCCTGAATACATTCATCATTGTGTAAAGTGAGTATATATAAGTATATATACAGGTTTGGTTGAAGACCAGAGCGATTTATACGCTCTGGTCTTCAACCAAACCTGTATAAATGAAGAACTTCTGCCTAACTACACTAATAAGTATATATACATATATATACCGGTACTAGCTTATATAGAATAAGATTGCATTTTTGGGCAGTGACAGCTGCTGATAGCAGCAAGCATAAAATTTATTTAAATTCACTAGTAAATCTGCCACTGATTTACGCTCATATATAAGTGGCAAGAGGATATGATCATGTACGCAGAATACATGCTGTTACGGAATACACAACTGCAGCTGCTGCCACTGTTGGTAACAGCAGGCATTGAACATGTGTATGATCACTTCTCACAAACACATTTACATTGATAGTCTTAGACAGGTGGTGAGAGGATCTAATTGCGACAGCACACAAACAAGCATCTTTGTTTAGACTGGTTTTAGTTAGGGCTTATGCTTATTTTTTTAAAGATTTTCAGCGCACCATGCAAATCAAGAAATGATGATATGAATTTCTGCACACCTGGCTGGCATATTATATATCTACTGTTTAAGGCTTTAAGCTGCAACTAGAGTTTTCCCAGAATTTTTGGAGCTGCAAGATTTCCTCTAGATGATTTATTTTCTATATAATTTCTAATAACACTGTACAATTGGACCATAAGATTCTAAACATATGACATAATGGTTACTTTGGTGCCACAACCTTCTATTCATAAGTAGGAAAATTCCAATCTAGACAACTGGCACATCTTCTGGACTATGGCATAAATCTGGCCAATTTCACCCATTCCTATGACGTCTTCCTAATTTCTTCAATGAAAAATAAAAAAACTCTTATTTCTAACTACAACTCTCAAAACTCATTAGTGTATCAATAATTTTTACTGTGATATTAGGAAAATTTTGCTGATATTCCAGATGGGGTGCAGGTCAATTGACACATGTAATATATATAAGTAATGTCACTGATACTATTTAAAGACATTAAAATTTTCAGAGAACAAAGCACATAAAAAACTTACCTAAATGGCAATGAAGAAAAATAATTAGCAAAAACAATAATATGTTATTGGCAAACATATTTTAAAACTGTTTCAACAATTTATTTTCCAAGCAGTAGGTATGTGCACAAACAAAATTTTTTTCTTCTGATTTTAATAAAAATTATACAGCTGAAAAAAAAAAAAATTTTGTGAGAAAAATACCATATAATATTAGTGAAATACAAATAAAAGTGAAAAGATATGAATTTTTTCCTTTATCAAATTATGTCTAAAAAAATTGACCAATTTTCAAAAACACTATTATTTCTAGGTTTCCTATGAGCCAATTTCAAAGATTTTAAAACCATTAGAAAGTTCTTCTTGTGAGCTATATATTCTAAATGAAATAAAACATTTTGGTTGAGACTTAGGTGGGGGGAGGGGGGTGAAGGGTGTGACAGATAGATTTGAATGGTATAAATTAAACAAAAACCAGAATTAAACACAAAAAATTTGAGTTTGATAAATAATACTAAACAAATGATATAGGTATAAATGATAAATAAATTACAAATAGAAATTATTGATAAATAAATGATATACCGGTATGTCATACAGTCATATGAATGAACAAATAATAAATGAATAATAAGTGAATAATGAATAAATGACAAATGAATGAATGATGAGTGAACAATTAATAAATAATTTACTAATTAATGATGAATAAATGATAAATGAATGAAAAATGAGTGAGTAATTGATTAAGAAATAATGAATGAACAAATGATGAAGGAATGATGTAGGTGGGTTCATTGATGCATTCATTATTTGATAGGTAAATGATGGGAAAATGACAGGTATATATATGATAACAAAAAATAATATTAAATGATAAATAATATTAGTAATAAATTAATAATACTTGTACTAGTAGAACTGCATCACCAAACGCCATTGGGCATTGCAGCTGCTATCCCTAGCCTTAGGCCCTTAGCAAGTAGCCTAGCGAGCTTACTAGCACTTGACAAATTCAACTAGCAACTTAGCAAGTAGACCAGAAGGTAGCTGCAGCCTGCAGGTAGGTGAACAATTTCATGTAACAATCATAAACAATGTCTTTCTAACTCTAACAATAACATTGTTGATCAATTATATGCAATTTACTCTAAAACTTTAAAATATGAACTGAAACACTACCAGCATATCATATGACTGAACGTAGGGTAAACGCGGTATATTATTCTGACATCGTGGGTAATTCCGACACTTCTAGACTTTTTTCCTTTATATTAAGCTTTTTCTTAGTCCCACGCATTTGTTGATGGTTGAAATAGTGACGTCATACTGTTGCGTGCCATACTATTGCCAAAACACTAGGTCTGGGCCGTCTGGGGCGAAAATTTTGAGATCCAAAGAGAGACAGTGCGCGTCACCCAGCGAGAACATCGAAAAATGTGTCAATGTTGATAGTTGACCTTGCTCTACCAAATAGTGATAAACTGTTTGTGTAGAAAGATTATTATGGTTTGAGACTTTTAAATAAGTCTGTGAATATATTAGGAATCCTTTAGGTATACTTGTATTTGCTGATTTCATGTGGTAAATAAATTAATAGATGATTAATTAAGAGACGGTTTTACACACATAAAACTAATTCTGACACAGCTAGGAATTAGACAAACACAGCTTATTCCAAGCTGTGTGCAAAAATTACAATTTTCTTAATCAAAAGCCTAAATAAGTAGTGTTCCATATTCAATAGTGTTCTAATTCCAAGCTGTGTCGTATTCCAATACAGCTCACACAGCGATTGGAATTTGAACACAAGAGTGTCAGAATTACTAATTAGTAGAGTTTGAACTTTGAAACGCGGCCAGAATTAGTCTCACAAAATGCCAAATTAGTCACACACAGTGTCGGAATATACGGATTTAGTAGGTTTGCATTCTAAAGGCTTTTATATAAATATGGCAACATTTTGTGACGTTTCATTGTTGCTGGCGTGTAGTGCGGTGTTTTGAGAGTGCCGTAAAGCAAACAGAACTCGAGTTGTGCGTACGGTGATTTTATTATAGCCATTCATTTTTTGCTATGTCCTAAAAGTGTTGGAATATACAGCGTTTACCCTAAGTTACGTAACTGCCACACTACCATAACTTCCAGAATGCTAGTAGTCACTGTCAAATTAGCTGAGCTGATGAGCTCTGAAATTTTGAGAGCATGTATTCAATTGCATTGGCAGCATTGCTGCTTGCTGGACTCCAGAGTCTGGACTGGATGCCGCCTGGTATCTACCTAAGTTAGTAAAGTTACTTAGGTACTAGTAGTCTACTTTTTATATTTATATTATAACTTATATTACTAAAAAATTAACTTGAGGAAGGGCAAAAAAAAAACATTCTCCTTAGCATCACATTCACAAATCACAAGTAGGTAACTCACTAACTAGCCTAGTTGCCATAGTTGGCTAGGGGCCAGGGTGCAGAAGATGGAAGCAGCGTTGCCAATATATGGGTTTTTAAGCCCAAAGCGTCGCTGAACATTTTCAAGATGCGTCGCCGGATAATTTTTAATGAAAAGCCATTTACGCTGAGTAATGAAAAACTATTTACAAGTCATGAACTTATTTACAAGGTTGCATGCACCGAGCATGTGTTATCCCAAATCAGTGTGGAATTCTGTATAGGTAATATATTCTCCTGTCAATATAAGAAAACGTATCGAAATACCAACCCTACCACCGCGTTACACCACCTTCCACTGCAATGAAAATTTATAAACTGAGCTCATTGGAAACTACCCTGCTTCCAAAATTGCGCGTGGTTTGAAATCCAATCCCGTGTTGCCAACGACTAATCAAGTTAACTAGTCGTTTATCTGTAGGATAGCGGACACATTTTTGCATTGAAAACGTTCTAAAATAAAAAAAAACACATCCAGAATCGTAAAAAATTCTCACGATTGGACAATACCAACAAAGCTTTTGATATCACACAAAAGTATGAGATAAACTTAGACTTTTCCAAGGCGTACATTCACATCGTGTTTCCACGATCATATCTGACATGGCAGCGTCACAGGCATAGCTTTTGGTCATGTCAAGTTCGATTTTACAATAATTAGACTTGATTCACATTCCATACTGACATTTAAATGATGGAAATTTGTTTCAAATTATCCACACATACATTTTTTCATGTTTTTTGCCTATTTTGTTGATATTGTCTATATAATTATTTTCACCTCAGATTCTAAATGATTTCGTCTCCCATCGAGAGTTTTTGAACGTCTCTTGTCTTTTAGAAAACGTTTGTTGTTGAAGTGGAAATTATTGCAATACATTATCATTCAGAGCTTAGACATGTAGATACCATAAGTTGTATTGAATAACAAAAGTTATTTTAATAAAATTTGATTTCTAATTCGAATTTTCGAATCAAATTTCTAACTTAACATTTTTTTAATATAATTTAAATCAATAGCATGTACCATTTTGTGTATTAAATAATTACATTTAATTCAATAAATTTTAGTTTCGAATTATTTGTATTTTATTTTTATTTAATTCTACAGCTGCAGCTGGTATAAATGAGCATCATATGATAGGAGCAAAGATAAAATTGTATTAAAATCAATTGTAAAATTGTATCAAAATTTAATAGCGATAACGCATCAGGATTTCAATCACAGAAATTCGGGTATGATTATTTAAAATTCATCATTTGATGCATTGACAAATTAGACAGACAATTAATTTTATTGATAGATAAGCACGCTGCAAAAATTAACGATAGGTTAATAATAAAAGAAACATTTAAAACGTCTGCCATCCCGCGTTTTCGAACGTTTTGTGTCTTTTAGAAAATTTTTGTTGTTTAACATGGGAAACTATTTCATTATATAAAACATAGAGCTCTTACCATATAGTGCATTAATAATACAATTTAATTCAATAAAAATTAATTTTTAATTTAAAAAATATAATCAGATTTTTAATTCAACATTTTTCTAATAGAATTTAATTCTACAGCATGTACCATCTAGTGTATTAAATAATAAATTTTGATTTAGTAAAATTTAATTCTATTTAATTTTTTAATTTAATTAAATTCTACAGCTTCAACCGGTAAAAATGAGCATCATAGGAATCAAAGTAAAACTGTCATTCATACATCACGAATTGAGTGACAATGGATGGATTTGATAGGTATTTTATTATTCCTGTTTATATATAAGAACGGAAATGACGCTTCTACTTCAGAATGATAATGGAAATGTTCCTACTATTTCAGAAACTTTTTTTGAATGCACTTCCGAAAACTAAAGTTCTGTAATCAATGGAGTCTGAAATGACAACATCGTTCAATTTAAAATTTTTAGCTATAAGAGTAAGATCGTCATTTGTCAATATGAGGAGCATTCATTCGTCATTCCTGAGGAGCTGTAAGAAAAAATTCGTTGTTTTTTATGTAAAAGAATTTTTTTCAATTAAAAGAAATGCAATACTTGATTTTTGGAAATACGATGCTAAAATTAATGATCCGTATAAGAATTCAATAGACGTTATGATTTCAGAATTATCTTCAAAAAGTTTGTTGTCGTTCGTTTGATCAGAAGTTTTCATTCGTTTGGTCAGAAGTTTTCGTTCGTTTGATCAGAAACAGAAAAGGTTTTTGTTTGTTTGATCAGAAACAACATAATTGTTCATTCTCTTACACTAAGTATACGAATGATTAGTTAATTTGTATACAATCGTATACAAATTAAGTATACGATTGATCAACCCAGTACCCACCCACTGTGCAGAGAGTGGATATATATATAGCAAGATCTTTGGCGACGCTTCAGTAGCCAAATTTTTGCCTTCAGAAGATCTTGCCGACACATTTAGATTGAAATTCTTGCATTTAATATATTTCTCAGTCTTCGGCCAACTATTTAGAAAAAAAGTAAGGTTTCCGGTACGTTGGATGGATTACGATGCAGGTAACACGTGCCTGCAACCTTTTAAATAAGTTTGTGGCTTGTAAATAGTTCGTCATTACTCAGCGTAAATGGCTTTTC